TATCCTACATTATATAAATCAATGCATCAATGTTTAAACAACACTCGCTGCTCGTCATTGGTCCTCATACTTCTTTGCTCACCAATCAGGCTTAAAAGGCTGTGTGGTTTAGTTGTAATGAAAAATGCAGAGAGAGCCACTTGCTATCATCTTTTTCTTTATTGCCCAAGCTCCCACATTTCAAATGACAGCCATGCCCATTCTAGGGAAAGCATGGATTAATCTAATCCTCTGCCTGGGATTCCAGTGGAGAATTTCTTGTTCTTACTATACACCAGGTAGAACTCTGAGTTCTCAGGGAAAGTATACTGTGTGGTTTTTAATACCCAAGGGGACATGGGAAGCGGGGCCCTGAGGTTAACATTTAACTGAAAACCAGCAACTCTGGGCCGCAGCCCAAGTCAGAACATCAGCCTTGCTGTTCCCAAAGGTTTGCAGAACCCGACTTTTCAAATTGGATGAGGAAGTGGGACAGAAAAATATATTTAAACAGATGTTTTAGAAATTAGAAAATAAGATCTTAAAATACCCTGAGCCCTGAGAAACTATCCCGCTAAAATGTGACATGAATCCACCATGTTCCCTGACTGTGCCTCGCTTCCTCACACAAGCTTTTAGGGTCTGAGACCTGGAACTGTAGGTGGGGGATACATAGATATGTATTTGTATTATGTATGTACAGTGTGTGTGTGTGTGTGTGTGTGTGTGTGTGTGTGTGTGTGTGCACATGCATGTGCATGTATGTCGGTCATCAACAGTTAGGAAGATTTTGAGGTCAGCCACTGTTTCTGGTGAGAGGTTGATGCCTCCCTGTAGAGATGTTGGGCTCTGGATTGTGCATGTAGAGTTTCTACTTACTGAAATAATTGTTTAGTTAAACCAAGGACAAAGAAAACCTTAATTGGCTTTTAGTTCACAGCAATGAAGCCTTTCCTTAATTTATTGATGAATTTCTATTTTCCATTTCTTGGGGTGTATGTGTATGTTTCCATAGCTGGGAATTTCCATGAGTTTCTATGAGTTTCCCCCTACTGCTTAGTTATTAACTCTCCCTATAAAACTTGTTATTTATTTATGGCTCTGATGAGCTCTAACTGGAGGTAAGTTACAGGAGCCTGGTACACTGCACAGTTTTCTGTAAGCCAGAGGGCAGGGAAGCGGCTGGGACCGGCTTCCGGGGCAGGTGGCAACCTTCCGGATTCCTAGGAAGCATCACATCTAGAAGCAAAGGGCTCATGAGAATCTAGGTGGGTTGTCCTGTGGGAGGCTCAGTTTCTAATTATCCACACAGGTCTGTAAACCTCAAGGATGAAAACATTTGTGTGAGTCAAGATGGCCTGTGAGGAGGGCTCTAAGCTCAATGCCATGGGCTACAAAAAACACGGAACCCGTCTGATTTCACTGAAAAGTCAAGAGGAAAATAAGCAAACGCCTGTGGACTATTTAGTTCAGGAGTCACATGTCCTAACATGTTTATAAAACATGTCCTAACATGTTTATAAAACACGAAGCCTATCAACAGGGTGAACAAAGGCATGTGACTCATGTCCCTAAAGTGTGTAAGTTTCAAGAAAGTAATCAAGGCTATCTCTTAATCTGAAAAACAAGTTGGTTAAAAAATAGTAATCTAAATTTCTTTAATAAGCCATCTTTCAAGCACTAAACAAAGATTTCAACAAACCTGAGGTACGATGATGTCACTAGCACTCAAAACGCTCTGCAGAGGCCTTTGGTTCACATCCACAGACTTTTAAGCATTCCCAGCTGTGAAAACACACACACACACACACACACACACACACACACACCACACACACACACACACACACACACACACACCACACACACACACACACACACACACACACACCACACAACCCCCACACACAAGCACATTTACACACACACACACACACACACACCACATACACCAAACACAAGCACATGTACACACACCACATATGCCACACACAAGCACATGTACACACACCATATACGCCACACACAAGCACATGTACACACACACACACACACACACCACATACGCCACACACAAGCACATGTACACACACACACACACACACACACACACACACACACACACACACACACGACACACAAAAAAAAAAAAAAAA